TACTAATCTTATTTTCTATACAGATGGGTCTGTTATTAGTACTGATAACCTTCAATGCTCTATGGGTATTAGATAGTTACAGGTCGATAACAATAATATTTTTTTAAACATTTCATGCTCAAATTTCTTTATAGCCATGTTCATTTAAAGCTGAACTATTCACAATACTATCTGCTCTATATACCGCATCTAAAAACTATGACATTTACATCTTTACAAACTCCCAATCTGTAATCTCCAAGTACAACAGCCTAACTCAGCTAACAACCAATGTCAAACCCTCAAACACTTCATACTGGTCTATATGAAATATGCTTCTCAACTTTATTAAATTCTATAACTTAAAAATTACCTTTCACAAAGTTAAAGCACACCAGAATGATATATTTAACAATAAAGCTGATCAACTAGCTCATGATCACCTCAATATACCACATCTTATATTCAAGCCCAGTAATATCTATAATCCCTTATTCATTCCTTTTGTAGACAGCTACCATCTTGAACTTCCTACTCATCATAGCATTCAAACAATATGCTATGCAAAAATCTTCGCTACCTGGTCCTCCCAAACTGTTTTCAACCATGAATACAAATCTCCCAGCATATCAACTAGGATGCAACTTGGCTTTATCTTAACAACAATCAAAAAGTTTCCAACTTTGCCCATAGTTTCCAATCTTCTACACTCAAAACATTTAGAATTAAGTTACTTACTTATGAACTTTCTGCTCCTTATATTTTACATAAAAGAAACTATTCTTTTCCTAATACCTGTTACAACTGCCAACAAACCAGCACTACATTACACTGGACAATTTGCCCTTCTCCAAACTCTTTATATCATCTTATCCAAAATTCTATACAAACAATTCTAACTTCTTACAAACTTCAAACCTCTCCAGCTCAAATTCATCAATTGCATAACCAAATCTCTAATCTTGATAGCCTTCAAACACACAACTTTTCTGATAAACCTTCAATCTTTTCTATGCTATCTGGACTTATTCCACTAGATATTATATACACAATTCGAGAATACACTATATCAAATCAAATAGCTAAATCAATTACTATACAACTATTTCTTCACATCAACAAACAATTATACACAAACATATGGATTCCCTACTGTGCCTCTAGACCTCAACCTCAATCTTTACAATTACAAGCAACCTTATCATCTAATTCTACAACTAATATACTTCCCGTAACAACTAACTCTAACATTACTTTACAAACATCTCTCTCAAAACTATCATCTTGGTATTCTAACTAGATCCAATTCTGCACACACCCTTTACATATTTTTAATCTATCTTAAATCTGGGTAAGCCTTGGCCACTCTGGTAGGTTTAGACTGCAGATAAAAAACTAGGCTTGTCTATTTGACATTTTTAGTTAGTCTAAGTTCTTATTCTTAGCACTAGACTTAAAATATAAAACCTTTTCCAATTATGTAAAAAGTTTTCATTAAGTTTAATAAAGATAACTTACCTTTAACATTAAAAAAAAAAAAAACTATCTAATAAATATAGCTAAATTTTTTTTTACAAATTTATCATAACCTTCTTATTTATATATAAAAGTTTTAAAACTATATCTTTAAAAATGATCAAGATATTGATCTACTGACAAGACTTATCATACCTCCCACGTATAATAAATCCTTCGTATTCTTGGTTATTTATATAGTTACCACCAATTTTTTAAAGATTTGAAGCGAAAAAAAAAATAAAATCCAAGATTAAAATTACACAGTAATTTGATTATATTTTAATACAACAATAGTTTGTACTTAATCGCATCATAAAATATGGAAATTCATAATCTTCATTATAGCGTCTCATATCAATATAGATATACTGTATTTAATAAAGAGCTGCGCAATGCAGTTGCGCAAACAGGAACGGATTTCTAAAATATTAATTAAACAGTTTACTAGATATTGGATTCTCATTAAATTACAGGTAAGTTTAACCATTTTTTTAAAATAATTTTATAATATAAATCTATTGTAGCGATGGAAATTTATGATAGAGGTTAAAGTAGACCAGCAGTGGTGAATAAAGATGGCAGTCATGTGAGTTTTAATCAACTATCAAGCGTAACATGAAGTTAAATAATCTTCTAATAGCTTCTTATATTAATGCTAGAATAAGAAGGTTATATTATAAAAATCATTCTAATAGCTTTTTAGGGCTAGATTTAATATTGTATTAGAATGGTTGTATTAACATATTAAAATTTTAGAGAAATTACTTAGCAATGAAAATAGAAATATGCACTGGTGATTTTTTTTTAAATTGATCGTCTTTTTTTTTTTTGAGCTAGGGTATATACAATTAAATAAACTGGTAGTTTCAAGAAGAGTGAACCCAGTGATATCTTCGTGATAATCACATCACGGGATTAAGCACTCGGCCTAAGTTAGGGTTAGTGTTGGGGTTAGGTGATAGTATAGTTTAGGCCAAATTTGTTAGTGCTAGTAAACAAATAATGTCATTCCATGATGTGATGATCACTGGGTTCATTGTTCTTTAAGTGTCCCCAAACCTATAGAATCAGAATAAAAAATAATTATCAAATTTATTCTAAAAAATTAAATTTTATAAGAATCAAGAACGCCACCTCAATTTAGGTATGATCGACGCCTATCAAAAAAAGTGACCGCAGACATTCACTTTGTACCTAGTACTAGGTGCCGCACAAAAAAATGCGCGGCAGATCCTCGATTTTGATTGGCTAAAAAAATTAAGCCCGCCCATTAAGTGAAAATTGTTCCTGGGCTTATTTTTTAAAAATTTCTATTTTAGTAATGAAAAAATTAAAAAGTTAATTCCGGCCGGAATTTATTAAACAATTTTGTAATGCGGACCAAAATTTCGAAGATCTTCGGCCGCTAGCCAATCAAAATCGAGGATCTGCCGCGCATTTTTTGTGCGGCACCTAGGGTAAATTCGCCGGTACAAGTAGTTGTGATTTTCTCAAAATTGATCAAATCTAAATTGAGTTCTCCTTTTCTATTGAACAACTCCCAAATGTAGAATTTAATAATCAAAGAAACCCCAAGCAAAGACCTAATAACTTCGAGACCACGTCTAATAAGAATTTTAAAGAAAGAAAAAATTAATAATAGAAATTCAGGCAAAGATTTAATATCGTCGAAATAAGAATTTCAAAGACCTAACAACATCGAGAACTGTCCAATAAAAATTTTAACAAATGAAAAAGCTTAAGCAAAAACATAATACTGTAATAATGTCGAAATCACGTCTAATAAGAATTTTTTAAAAGGCGAAGAACTATTAATCGAAGAAGTTACAAGCATAGGTTATGCAGGATGGATATTTAAAAGGATTCGAATTTAAAGATAGTGGGTTATTAAAGAATGTAGTTTAGTTGGTAGGTAGGTTAAAAGTGCGGTATACTTCATTTATTATGCAATTCCTCCAACTTTTTATTAATTTTAAGTATTATATTTATACATTTTAATTGCGGTAGTCTGAAACCAAAATTCCGGATGCCAAACCAATATCGGTGGACTTGGACCAAAATCAGTGGCTCCAACCACTATACATCTTTGATCTTACCGGAAAAGGGAATCGAGGAAAATATACTACTAAATACAAGAAAATGTCATAAAAGAAAATTTATGCAAAATTTTTCGTAACACCATACAAAGTTGATTTTTCTTTTTGCATCACCTGGTGTTCTAAAATTACGATAGGTGGGTCTGATTTTTTTAATCAATTTACAATAAATAATTGTCTCATGTTCACATCTAAGGCCATGCAAAAATAATTTTTTGTTTGCATAGTATGGAATCAGTTTTTTTTTGTTTTCTCCTATCGGTCCTGTCGGGTAATTCCGGAAAATTGAGGTCACATCGGATGGCACTGGATAAATTATATGAAAAAAATAAACTAGCAAAAATAGAACAAATGACACGATTTGGACTTAAAAAATAAATTATTTTTTTTGAAAAATTGAGAAATGAGTCAGTGGATTAGTGGGTTGTGAAAAACGAGAAATAAACTTTACGTGCCTAATACGTATTATCAAACCAAGAATTATAAAGAAAGTGAAGAACTAATAATCGAAGAAGTTTACCAAGGACCTAACATCGTTGAGACTCGTCAAAAAATAAGTTTTAAAGAAGCGAGAAACTAATAATCGAAAATATTCAAGTAAATACCTAATTATATCGAAAATAAGAATTTTAAATTAAGGAAATACTGCATTATCAAAGAAGTTGAAGCAAAGACTAATAACGTCTATTCAGTAAGAATTTTAAAGAAAGTGAGACCTAATCCGAGAATTAATTATGCATGAACATATTCGATAAGAATTTGAAACATGCGAAATTAAACATATCGAGACCTTATCTGATGATAATTTAAAGTGAAAACACGTCTAATAAGAATCAAAAGAAAAATAAAGCTTAATACCATATAACCTGTCATTGAGAATTTAAATAAAGAAAGGTTCTAATTATGTGTAATTCTGTCTAATAAGAATTTAAAAAGCGAAATCCCACCATTCAATAAGGTTTTAAAGAGAGCAAAGGCTAATTAATTATATTATGATCCATCCAAGACAATTTAAAGATGTCGAATTTAATAAAAATGAAATACCGCAAACTCTTTAATTAATGGAAGTGTTTATTCACTAATTATTTGAAAACAGATGATCAATCTTGTGATCACTGGATAACGCAATTTAAAGTTTATTGACGGTGCTTATTTATGGAACATAAATTTTTATTATGAGGGTGCTTATTTTCCGAGTTTTGCGGTAATTAAATTGGAACATTTTCATATTTTATCAATATGAAAGTGTACCTATAAATTATTTTTCTCTTAAATCACTGATTAGATTATGAAATATTTATGTTTCGTTGCAAGTAATAATCTTTTATTTCTACGAAATTCTCAAAAACAATTTAATTATTATAAATTTAACACTATCTCAATATGCTAAATTATATCTATTGTACATTATTTATTTAAGGCTGTTCTTCTGAAATTGAAAATACAGGTTTCAATACATTTTGTAAAAGGACGATGCCCCGTCGATTGCCTAGTATAACACAAGGTAACACAACTATAGAATTCTCTATGATGTTTCATCGTTTGAGAGATTTCATTTTCGGTGTTTTCAGAGAATTCATTTGATGATTCGTCGATTTTGTCAGAGACGGTAGTTTTTAAATCTTGATAGGGCATATTAGAGATATCGGCGTCATCATTTTCGTAAGAAAGATCGGAACTTTCGACAAAAGCATTCACCGATACGGAGTTAACGAGAATGATAAATGTGATAGCAACTAAAATGTAAAATGCGAAAATTGTGCGACGCGACATTTTATTCAGTAATTAGTGTAAAGTCTTTAAGAACTTGAAACGACAAGGTTGTTTCCGTGTCCTATTTATACATTTTGCATAACTTACTTTTTTTTTTTAAATTGAATTATTTAAACTTCTATCAGTTTCGATGAGAGCAAAAATTTTTTAGAATTATCTACGTGGCTGGCTGAAGATTAAGCTAGGTGATGGTATTTTAATCAGACTATATTCTAGAAATTCAATCAGATATAACGAAAGTTAATGTAGGAGTTAGCGATATTATAAAAAAGAATGCGAAAAATTTGTTCGTCATACTGCCTAGAATTTTATTAAATAATGTTGATAGTTAAATAAATAATAAATTCCACGGGTCATAATAGTAAGAATCTGTTTAAAAATTACTTACTCGAAATTTATCTAGATGTTTGATGTTTTAATCAGACTGATATCAATTCAAACCAAACATTCAAACGTTTAATCTATCGGCCGTCATAAGTAACATGCATTTAATTTTACTAATAAAATCCATTACTCGATTTTTGACTCAAAAATAGGGCCGTTTTTTAATTATTTGCCATTAATTAATTGACCTAATGGGGTTTCAGAATTAACTTTTTTTCAAAATAAGTGGGGTTTAAAAATGTCCTATTTTCTTTTTTAGAATCCGAATCAGAAAATTAAATAGGCATAGCCGGTGATAAAATTAGCCTTTTCTTGATAAACGTAAACGAATGTAAATAATAAAAAAAAATAGAATTTGTACGTTGCTCATTTTGAATAAATACGTCACTTTGTTTTATCTGAGATCGGACGCCGAATCATTAATTCTGAAACCCCAATGGTAGAATTTATTTTTAAAAAGCTTTTACTAATCAAATATAGTATGAGAGATTGGGGATTTTTTACTATTTTTTTATTTTATTTTATTTTATTTCCAATTATTTAAATATAGACTAGAACATCGGCTTCGCTGACTAATTATAATAGAAATTTTGATGGTGCAGATGAATTAATGACCCTCATATATCTAAATTAATAATTGGTTTAATGAAGTGACAAAGCCGATATTATCTTAAGATCAGTGGCGTATTGACAATACTATACTACTAATGCAGGTAGAATTCTTTTTGCCTAACTTTTAATATTAAAACAGTTTTTAAATATATAAATATATTGAAATATTAGTTATCTTTGTTCTTTTAAATTGGTTCATATCTTAATATTACAGTATTAGATAAATGGAAATAAAAGGTAATTCGACTTAATAATTTGATTGGATTGGTTCATTCGACCGGGGTAACCAAAAAAGGTTCGATAATCACGTGACAAATATATTGAGCACCAAAAAGACATTTAACTTGAACATAGACTAAAAAATAATAACAATAAGCAATAAATTAATCATTTTATTATTTCAAGTAAACTCGATAAACGTAATATTCATTACAGTCAGAAAGTATTATTACAATTTTTCTAAGTATTCTATTACCTTTTAAAATGATTACAATCCTCCTCCAATTTATGTATTAGCTTTATTATCGATCTATTTGTTACTATTTGGATTAATCATGTTTTCTATAATAATTTTTTTGTTGCGTTCTGAATTCAGAATATAAAACTTTTTGCTCAAATAAATAATCAGAGTTATAGTCTTCCGGAAGAGCATTCAAAATAAAATCTATAAGATTTTCTGGTGTAATTGCATTTGCTTGATTAGTTTTTGTAATTTTATTTATTTTTTCATTTATCATTAGTGGAAATTTGGATACGGCGAACATCGTGTATTTTCAGAATATTGTGTTATTGGATTTTATATTTTTAAAAGATTGCAACGATAGTTTTACATTTTGAAGAATCGAAGAAAACAAAATCATTTACTAAATCAATTAATACTTCATTAATTTTCGAAATTTTTTTGGGTCGTTCATTCTGTCAAGTAGATAACCAATTCATGTTATATTCTATAATTATAATATTTTAACTATTTTTGTTAAAAACGAGGGAAGAGAAAAGCACTCATCAGAATAAACATTATTACTTCACTTATATAACAGAGCATGTCTACTTAGCTTATTAAGAAAAGATTTTAGTTTATGGTTTAAATATTATTAAGTATTATATTTGAAGTTATAAATCCTTATATTCGAAAATCATTAAAAGTTTTTAGGATTGTAAACATTTAATTTTCATTTTACTCTTACTACGCGGTCTAGGTAGAATTAGAATCCTTTGAAATAGGCCATACATTATTTTATGTCTTTTTTGATTAAAAGCTTTAAAGGATATAGTTCGGATGATAATTCTTTTTCTTTAGGGTGTAATAAAATGCCTTCTTTTAATGGAATTTCTTTCAAATGAAATATAGTTGTGCGTAGTTTTCTAATCGTAATATCTTTCGAACGGTTAAGTAACAGCTAAGGGGAATTAATAAAAATTTTAATGTATGGTAGTTATTAGTTTCTTTGATTACTTTATTAGCATACAGTAATTATAATAATAATAAAAAAATTATAAAATGACCTTCGGATTCATAATATTAATAATATTTAATTGCTATAAATTATATATATATATTTAGCGGTGGTAAATTTCATGCACCCATTACATCGTTACCGAAATGACTATATAATGTGATATCGATTTTTTTCAGGGGATAAGTCCGACACGATGAGAACTTAAATATTTACATTCAGGTTTCAATTCAACATTTCTTAAATATTATTATAGTTCCATAAAGAAATTATTATACCAGCAAGATTTTTCGATTGATACAAGATTATATCGAAAAACTATTGTAATTTAGATAACTATAATTAATGTAGTCGTTTATAAAGATAATTTTATAAGCCTTGTTAACCATACTTTCAGAAATTTTTTTTTTAGTTCACATCTGTATAAACAATCATAAAACTTTATTTATGAATTACTTATACACAAATACATATTTTGCCGTTCCAAAAAGTTGTTTGTACTGTGCCCGACACGCACTACCTAAACGATTTAATAAATCTTCTTGAAATTAGTGATGATAATGTAACAATTGAAGTTGATCAAACACCAAACAATAAGGCACACTAAATTATTTTGAATTCTCGATGTTCTTATTTTCGTAAAGACAAGTTTCGATAAGAAGAATCAGTCTAACACATATTTCTACAAATATTTTGATGTTAGTTGTGTAAACTTAATATTGATGTACTGCACATATACGTTAATACAAAAATACCATTTAATAATGCTTAATATAAATTTCAGAAATGACAATGTCATAAATTCTTAAAGGTTTCATTTTTAACTTGTACAATAATATTATTTGCTAGAAAATTACTTACCTAACAAATTTTAAAGTGACTAATTTGAATTATAAGATTAAACTTTATTGCCGTGTCTTAAAATTTTCTAGAGAAAGTTTTTTGAATATATAAATTTACTAAATTCATTACAATACGTTTGTATTTATATTTATTTATTTATTTAAATATTTGAGGAAGTCTATAGCTTGTTTGCCTATTTATAATTTCTGTAATGGCTTTTTAAAAACTAAATATACAAGCTGAGTCAAGCCAATAAACATTTTTAGCATTACAACTGTTTTCATTATTTTGGGATATCTGGTAAAAAAATTAACTGAATGATTATTTGGCCGATTCGATAAGTTTTGTGATTTTGGGAGCGTGATTAGTAATATAGCGATAATGATATATTTTTTTGAGATTGTATTCTGAACGATACTATAATGTCAATACATCCAAAATTAACCAGTATGTTTTATGTGTTTAGTCTGTACGAAAATTTATGACGAAGATAGTTCTTGCCAAGCAACAGATTTGACAAAAAACAAAATGTGTTCTGAAATATAAAATAAGCTTTCTTAATAAATATATAACATAAGAAGGCGCTAATAAAAAAAATGTTTGATATATGAACAAGAATTTATTAACTAGACTAAAGAAAATATAACTCAAGCTATAATTCCAAACACCAAGTTTTTATTAATATTTGGCGAAACTACATTGAAAATTATAAACAAAATCATAGTTAAAATCTATAAAAGTATTTCATTTATGTAATATTGTAAATTATAATGAATTTTTAAAATATAACGGTTGATCTAAAGAACTATTTGAATCTAATATAATCTGAAGCGCAAAAATAGTGATATCGATATATGTTATCTGTCATTAGAAGGATATGCACATTACGTAATCACTCATTACCGAAATCAAAAGCTTATCGAATAGTCATTCGATCAATTTTTTACCAGATGTCCCAAAATTAATGAAAACAGCTGTAAATATAATAATTGAGAGATGCTACAGTAATGGCTATTTGCCTATATATAATTTCTGTAATTGGCCTTTTAAAACCTAAATATACAAGCCGGGTCAAGCCAATAAACATCTTCAGCATTAAATAATTTAAGATGCCAATTGCTTATTTACCTATTTGTAATTTCTATATTCGCCTTTTTAAAACCTAAATATACGTAAAGTCAATAAACATCTTCAGCATAAATATAAATAAAAAGTCTCATTAATGATTTAATAACAGGTTAAATATCTAAAATTATAGAACTAAATTTATTATTTTTATTGATAGCTTAGCTTCGTCGAAAACAAATTTTCAGTAATAATTTTTTAGCGATAGCACTAGGGATTCATTATTATTATAAGTAAAATCTATGTATGTAGCAATAAGAATTAGTAACTAAGTCTTGTAACTCTTATACTAAAAGACCCATGATATAGTCTAGTGCTCTAACAGACCCTAATTTTGTAATTACCCGAACAAGTCTTTTCAATTCTCATAGAACATTTTTCTTTTGCAATATACGAGTATTTAATTATTTAACATTGTTGTTGATTTCATATTATATTCTTATTCTAAAAATAACGTTGCTCTTATAACATTCTCTTTGCACTTTATTCTAATCCTCCGGATCTAGCAGTTCTAACATATTTGAGATATTTGGCAGATTTGTCAGATCTGGCAGATCTGGGCAAGAAACCCAAATTGGG